ATCAAATCCTATATTAAATTATGTATAAATAAAATAATATGTATATGTCATATATATTATATATATATATATATATTATGTCATATATATTATGTAAACAGAAATATAATAGAATTTTTTGTTGAAAATATTATTTGAAAATAAAATTTCGTGATAAAATTCAATTGAAAATAATATTTAACGGTTTGTTTTAAAATATCGTACCAAAAAATTAAATAAATCCATATTTTTTGATAAATATTTAATAATTTTTATTAAATATTATTATATTACATTATTTAAATAAAAAAATATTAAATGTTAAGAGTATATATTTGATTGGGAAATGTAACGTATCATATCTAATTTAGATATAAAAGGAAGTTAATCTTGATCAATTTTTGCATTGTCATTCAGATATTACTGAATTGCTATTATCGATTTGCTAAAAATACAGATTTTTATGAATAAATACAACAACTTTAAACATAATATTAATCTTTCGAAAGGAATCAACAATGCATTTATAATTTAAAAATGTCATTGTTAGAGGAAATATGATATCATTGAATACTACTATTCATTTTTATAAATGAAATCATCTGATATATTTATATATTATATCATTTTTAAAATAAAAAATAATAGTTTATAAAAATGAAATTATTTTTTTATTTTTTATTATTTTACATTACAAATATTTTATATAGTTAATCTAAGAGAATAATAAAAACTAATGTAAATGTATTAATCGATTTCTTTGAGACGGTATTCTATGTACTATAATATATAATAGCTAAGGTTACTTGTTTATAAGAATATTACTGAGAAAGCTTTCTAATACTATTCATTCCATGAATGTAATCAATGTTTTATAATGTTTCAAAATTATGAAAATATAAAATATATCTTTATATATCTTTAAATAAAATATTTTAATTTTAAAGATTTTTTTTATAATCTACAAAATATTAAATTAATTATTTATTGCGTAAATATTATTCTACAATGTCGAAATAAACATAATATCTTATCATTAATAAAAAATATTATTTAATGCTAAATATTATGTCGCAATAAGACAAGTGTTTAACAGAATAAAAAATATGAAAAATATATTTAATTGCGTAATATTTTGCAATTTTATGTATATATATATATCTATAACTTTAAAAAATGAATATACATATATGAAAACAAATATCCTTCGAAATTGTGTGCACTATGTTATTATGATATAAGTTGTAATTAGGAAGTACAATACAATCTAAGGAAATGTTCGGAAATGAATCTTTGAAACTTTTTCGATGAACCGCGAATAAAATAAATACGTATGTCTAGTATACATCTCACTTTACCTTCGCCATACTTGTATCGAGTGACATCATTCTATGGAACCCAAATTTAAGAAAGAGAAAGAAAGTAAACGTGAAGGAGAATACGTTCACTACGTGAAGCGTAAGTCAGAGAAGGAAGAATAGAACTACTGAGGATTCAGAGCACAGCGCTCAGTCGTTAACGAAGCATCGAAATTGTTGGTTCGGTAGTACTTGTGGACAAGCTTAGAACGTAATTCCTAGAATAAATAAAAATGATTTACCAAATTAAGAATGCCGTAAGTAATTAATAATATATTCATTATAAAGTTTCATTGTATTTATAAATAAAAGAATTATGCATATATATTTGATTCATATATGTTGAATAATCATATTAATTTTTTAAATAAAAAAAAGAGTCAAAATTATATTTTTAGTTTACAATGGAATTTATTTAAATTTAGTATATGTTTTATGAAATAATTGACCTTGAAATAATCGATTTCATCTTGCTTAGTTCAGTAACGAAGTTTCCTCATAATGTGACGAAAAAATTTCGATCCGAAGCATGAACTATTGCGTGAAGTACTTGCAATCGTAGAATTGTTTCGATATTCATTTATTTATTTTAAATATATAAAATACATATATGTGATAAGTATTTTCGAGTATAGTGTTCATTTAATATTACATCAATCACAATTCCAATTACTACATAATATAGTTTGTAATATTGAATTCGTTGTATCTATAAGGTATGTGATTCAAGCATGCTTCCATGATAGATAAATTTTATGGGCGGGACAATTTAACATGAGAATAATTTGTTTATTAATTTTAAATTATTTAATTGATTTTTATAAATTATTTCATATAGAATTATTCTAAATAAATATTACTTTTTTTTATTAATTTTTTATATTTTTGAGAAAAATTTATAATAAGTTTAAAAAATCATGAATTAATAAAAAATATACATTT